TTGGTGACTTTTCAAACATTAACACTGCATTAAATTTTCACACAGCCTTTTAGCTCTGCCAATGATTTTTTTCATAAGCATTCCTTGCCCTCTGAGGAAAACATTTAATCCTTTATAACAGATGACCACCCAAGCCCTTCAATCACTTTTAGATGGGTTTTCAGTATTCTCTGAATTTCCTCAGATGCATTTTATTAGGATTTCTATTCACTTAACATATGCTATTCTGCAGATGCGCAACTCCAACAACAATGTACACAAATGATGTGAAAATGAAAACAATAATATGTATCAGGTAAAGAGGGTGTAAAGAATTGATGACTTTAAGTGAAAAACTGTGAACTTAAATCACAGTTCAGTTTTCTTTAAATGCAGCTACAGAGTCTGCTCTTTAGCTGTACAAAACATCATTCTTCAACTGTTTAAACTCTAGCTACTGTATCACAGCCCTATCTTAGGCTTACTCTTTAAATTATCGCCATTGTCTAACTGCTGTCTCTCAGCCTCTCTCTTTAAACTCACACTCCCTCTGAAGCTTGCTCTTTAAACTTCTGCTGCTGTTGCACCGTGAAAGTCAATGTACAAATTGATAATCCATCAAACATTGAGTTCACAGATACAAGTGGGAGGTTTTAACGTATAAAAATGGGATGACTCCATTATTAAAGCTACAGTACTGCTTGAAGAATTGTACCAAAGCTTGACTGTATCCTGCTTATCATACAGGCACTGAATATCAAACTATAGGTAAGACAAAGACAGCTTTCCATTATTTCCAATAAATCTAACTTCACACTCTTCATACAACGAGACTGGGGAAGGAGAAGAAAGTGCACCACTAAACCTAGCTGTGGGCCAGACACAAAACAGAACAAACAATACAATGGAGCTAATATTTTTTGTTGTGTTAAGAATCACAGTTTGCAAATATTTAGTGACAATACTGATTGACGTTTCATTTTTGAGTCATCCAAGGAGGCTGAAGTTTACTTGAATGACTCTTGACGAACCTGGTAGGCATAGGTAACAATCTTGAAAATATTAACAGAGATATTTAAAATGATCATGATTGCTAGTTTCTGTGCAGGAGGATTATTGAAGGCATCTACGTTACATGAATAGGATAAATCAGTTGGCCATGCACTACTGCATCAAAGTGATGATGGATGCCCTATTTCAGCATAGAAAAATGTACACAAAATTTTGCATGAAAAGCACAAGGGAAGACAGATGCAGTAGCACCACAGTATGATTTCTCTAGGGTAAAGAAAATCAGAGTGCACAGATGTGTCCGTTTGAGCACCTGCACATAATGCCTTACCTACATGAACAGGAAGGGCCACAGTTCACTAGAAATGCAAATGACCCATGTCTGCCACATGTGAATTACACACATGGAAGATATATTACTTGCCCTGGTTAGATATCCATTCTTCAATAGCTAGATACCATAGGAGTAAAATGCGATTTGACCAACTCTGAAGAAAACCATCAACAGAATCTTACCATCATTAAATGTCATGGGCTCTGAGAAGAAACCTGAAAGAATCATGTCAGAAGTCCAGCAAATCCTTCTCGATGTCAAGAGCAACTAGATGCATATTTCAACTAAGTTCTAGACATTAGGATTAGATTCTCACTAGAGAATGGTAAAATGCTATTGGGGGATTATTGCTTGTTATCGGCCTTGTTAACTTCACATCTCAGCCCATTAATATGTAGTTTCCTTATTTTAACACCGGCTGAGGAAACTAGACACCAAGAATTCTCAACACAAAAGTCAGAGCAGGTACCTGATGACTTCAACTTGTTGCCTATTCCACCAGGCCACATCTTGGATATCCAGCAACAAAGTCTCAGACCTGCACCACAGTACCAGCCATAATCACTCCACATCCATGGATAATCACATCCAACATTTGTCTGCCTCTCAGCTCTTGCATGGCATTTTTCTAATACACTTATGAGAAGCATCTGCAATTTTAATCTGCGCTTTTGGGCACACCAGCAACTAGCATTAACTGAAAAGCAGCTGCAAGAATGCTTCACGCGCAGGGAGAGGCACCCAGCTCACAGATTGGACTATGCCTGTTTGCTTGCTTGCTTATTGCTCCCTCACCTTGAGCCTACTTAGATTGGGCAGAAGTGAGGGGTGGGGTAGGTAGTTATTGAGGCACGTTTCAGATGAATTAAACCATGTATTTGTGTATAAATATGTCACAACATTGTAGCTTGGTGGTACATTTGGCTTCCTATAACACCCTATACTGTAAAGTGTACTACTATGCCAGTTACATCTTGGCACAAAGCTAAGATGAAGCATTCCAAGTACAAACACCACAAGGTCAGAAGTGGATGAATGTTTAGGTAGGTTGGTGGTGAGAAGAAAATCTTTATCAACTTTAAAAAAACTTCTTATAACAGAAGCTTTTTTCTGTCTAAAAATCACTTTCTTCCTGTTAGTCTTTTTTTAAAAATTGCAAAGCAAAAAGTTTACATCCATTTATGCAACACTGTTGCAAAAATGCTGCAAAGTTGGTACTCTGCCATTTTAATGCCACAAATTTTGTGTGGGCATTATCTATTGTCAGCTAATTTTGATTACGCACTGGGACAGCAGTGTTCTATTATGAATAAATAATAACCCCAACCAGTTTCTTTTCAGATGGTCAGAAATCATGGGATTAAAAATGCTGCACCTTCTGCAGTGTCCTGGCTGACAATTTAAATCAAAAATAGTTGAGAAAATAAAAATGATTATACAACTTGGCTACGATAAGCCTCGATAACCTTACTTTAATAACTGGCAAAGAGTCACACAGCTTTAATAAGGGTTTATCCACCAAAATCTTAATCTAAAACCTTAAATGTAATTGTCTATTTCTGCAGAATTTTCATGGACACCTCAAACATATTTCAAAACGTAAATATAATTTGATCTTGCATTTTGCATTTACGATCATTTAATGAAAACAGAAAAGGCATGAATCAGGAAAAGAACTACTGGCCTTTGTTACCAAAATTGGAAACAATGTACAGAGAAGGCCATCAGATGTAGAAGTAGAACTAAGCCATTCAGCCCATCAAGTCTGTTTTGCTATTAAATTAGATCATGCCTAATCCGATAATCCACAGCTCCACTTTCCTGACTTTTCCCCATAAACTTTGATTCTGTTACAGTTTAAAAATATGTCTATCTCGGCTTTGAATATACTTAATTACCTGACCTTAACACCCCTTTGCAGTAAAAAAAATTCCACAGATTCACTATCTCCACTCTGAGAAGAAATCCCATCCCATTTTTGTGGCAACCCATTATTCTGAGAGAATGCCCTCTGGTTTTAGATTCTCACAAAAAGGGGAAACAACATTTTTGCAGCCACCCTGTCAAGTTCTCCAAAGAATCATGTATACTTCAATAAGATCATCTCTCATTCTTCTAAACCCCAATGAGTATGGGCTGATCCTACTCAACCTCTACTCAAAAGACAGTCTTTCCACACCCAGGATCAACCTAGTGCACCTTCCATGGACTGTCTCCAATACCAGTGCACTCTTACTTAGATAAGGGAACTAAATCTGTTCGTATTCCAGCCGTGGTCTGACTAGTGCCTTACAGAATTTTCGCAAGACCTCCCTATTCCATTCCTTTTGAAATAAAGGTCAACATTACATTTGCTTTCCCTATTACCTGCTGAACTTGCTTGCTAGCAGTTTGAGCTTTATGCACAAGGACAGAAAATACCTCTGTGCAGTGGCTCTCCACAGTCTTTCTCCATATAAAGCTCCTCTATTCTTCCTGTCAAAGTGCATAACCTCAAATTAGTTTTTGCCCACTCATGTAAACTGTCTACATCCCTCTGGAGACTCTGTGTCATTCCCACCAGTTGCCTTCCCACTGATTTTTGATGGACACATTCCTTACTTATATGAAAACTGATAGCCTGACAAGGTATCATCACCACTTAATTTGGTAAAGCACAATGGTCCCCTCATTTTCTTTTCCCTCTGGACTGAAGGAGAAATTGATGAAATTTTGCTGAATTACTATGTCTCGTCAAATCTGACATGGTGTACAATTTTTCTTTCATCCTTCCCAGCAAAAGGTCAGCAATGATCATTTTAGATAAACAATACACAAAGGAAAAATATCTGATAAAACTTTCATCTTTCTTCCTAGCATTGCTTCATTCACTGCAACAAAATTATTTCTTTTCTACACACATGGTAAAAGGCATGGTATATTGTCAAAGCTCGGGTCAGGAATGAATGAGCAATAATGCAGCAGTCATTAATTTCTCTTTTCTACAGCACCGCAAAAACCTATATCCCAAAACCTATATGTGTGTTTTATGGCAGTTCACAATGCATCAAGAATCTGAATGAATCTACCACAGAGCCTGTGAAAAACAGCAAATGATGACAATTTATTGACAACATTAGTTACTCATAGTTCTAGCCTGTGGCATTGAAGATCACACAGCTGAAGAGCCTTTTGATGTACATGAAAGGTTATTGGGGTGGGGTTTTTGAAGAACTGACAATGAACTACAATCTATACAATGCACAAATACTAGCTATGTTACTTGATACTTCTTTTCCTTGTAAATCACAGTCGCTCTACCAGTTATTTAAAAGTTCTTATTCCAAAGTGCAAAATTCAGTACAATTCCCTTAGGCAATTTGGAGGAGATGGAATTTTAAAAACTGACAAAACAATCAAATTCATAATTTTGTGTTTAAAATTTCAATTTTCCTGAGTTCTTTCATTCATCTAGATTTGCAACTTTATACAGTCCTGAAACATACAAATCAGCAAAGTTCCAGTTTGTACTATGTTAGCCGATCTCAGCAAGGGCTGCAAGAAAGGTGCACATACGTATATGCAACCTACAGCCACAAAAATAACTTACTTCAGTCAAAAAAGTTAAAAGGTGGGTTAAAGGTAAAAATTATAACTCATTATCTGGTTAGTGAAATATTTGATTGAAATTACTTACCCTTTTTTGCTCTTTGATGTATTTAATCGTGTCCTCCCTTGCTTTATGAATTGCCTCTGTTACAGCTTTCTCAGCTCTTCTTCTTTCATGGTTTACAGCTTCTCTTATGGCCTCCTGTTGGGAGATTACAATGGTGAATAATCAACAATTGCATCCATGAAGTCCGGAGAAATGTGATCTGTTAACAGAACTCTGTTAATAGTCATAACTGGAAAAACAGGTGGAGACAGCAAGCGCATTTACAGCACGTTGCCTTTGCAAAATATCCCAAAATACTTCATGGGAGCAATTATCATAGAAATATGGAAATAGGAGTAGAAGTTGGCCATTTGGATCTTTGAGCTCGCTCCGCCATTCATTTAGATCATGGCTAATCATCTAACTCTACAGCCTATTGCCACTTCTCCCCCCATTATCCTTTGATCCTCTTAGCTCCAAGTGCTTTATCTAACTCCCTGTTGAAATCATACAATGGTTTGGCTCTGACTACTTCTGGGGTAGTGAATTGCACAGGCTCACTCCTCTCTAGGCGAAGAAATTTCTCCTCATCTCAGTCCTAAATAGTCCATTCCATATCCTGAGACTATAACTCCTGTTTCTGGACTCCCCTGCCATCAGAAACATCCTTCCTGTATCTACTCTGTCTAATCTCGTTAGAATTTTATAGGTTTCTAGAAGACTTACCCTCATTCTTCTGAATGTCAGCAAGTATAATCTTAATTGATTCATGCTCTCCTCATACATCAATCCTGCCATCCCAAGAATCAGACTGGCAAATCTTAGCTGTACTCCCCCTACAGCAAGAACATGCTTCCTCAGGTAACACCACCAAATCTGCACATATTTTTCTATGTATGGTCTCAGCAGGGCCCTGTATAATTGCAGCAAGACATCCTTCCTCCTGTATTCAAATCTTCTTGCTATGAAGGCCAAGAGATTATTTGCCTTCTTGACCATCTGCTGCACCTGCATGCTTACCTTTAATAACTAGTGTACAAGGACACCAGGTCTCATTGCACATTCCCCTCTCTCAATTCATACCCATTCAGACAATAATGTGCCTTCTTGTTACCAAACCTCACATTTATCCACATTATACTCCATGTGCCATCTACTTGCCCACTCACTCAGCTTGTCCAAATCACACTAAAACATCTTTGCATCCTTCTCACAGTTCACCCTCCCACCCAGCTTTGCATCATCTGCAGATGTGGAAATATTACATTTAGTTCCTTCATTCAAATCATTAATACACATTCTGAATAGCTGCGGTCCTAGCGCTGATCCCTGTGATAATGCACTAGTCACTGCCAGACATTAGAAAATGTCCTGCTTTTCCTGTTTTGTTTCCTGTCTGTCAACCAATTTTCTATCCATTCAACACACTACCCCCAATCACATGTGCTATAATTTTACACACAAATTTCTTATGTGGGACCTTATCAAAAGCCTTTGGAAAGCCCAAATAAACCAAATCCACCTCACCAACTCTACGAATCACACCCTGAAAGAATTCCAGTAGACTTGTCGTGCATAATTTCCCTTTCGTAAATCTGTTCAATCCCTGCCACCATTTTCCAGACAAACAAAACTCGACAGAAAACCAAACAGATTTAACTAGACAGTGTTCCTCCATCACTCAATCACACAATTAGACTCCTGCTATGACAGTCATTGTGCCAGTCACTGGATTTTACCAAACATTTTAAATGCAACAGCTTTTGCAAACTTAGAAAAGATTTTTTATTCTCATTATCTGTCCAATTACATTGGCTGGCTGATTCTTTTAAGTTTACCCACCATCAAATGTAAGCAGTCTTTAAAAATGATTTACACTCAATTCCCTGCAGCCTTTCTTGTTAACTCCCACTGAGTCAAAAAAAGACTGGAAAACACATTCACAGCAGTGGCAATGAAGCTGATCCTAAAACTCAAGGCAGTCAGAATATGATCAATTAAATGCAAGCAGTACACTATATGATGTGTGATAAGTAAATCTATCAGCATTCTTCGGTAATTTCAAGAGACAGTACATATTTCCTGCATTCCCAGTTGTTAGTTCTAAGGTTGATAGTTCTTAAGGCTAAAAGGATCAGAGGGTCTGGGGAGAAAACAGGAAGAGGGGAGTAAGTTGGGTGATCAGCCCTGATTATGCTGAATGGCAAAACAGCCTTGAAGGGCCAAATGACCCACTCCTGTACATATTTTCTATGCTTCTATTCCGCATGTCACAGCAAAGAAGCAATACATATGTTAATACATACTTACATTCTATATAAATTCTCCTGAAGAATTAGAAGAAAATTACTCAGATAACATTAACAGTTTCTGAAATCCTTTACATTAGAATTCTAGAAGTTATTAGTACAAATGGAAGAAAACATTTTCCTGCATAATTTCCTCATATCTGAAGGTAATTACTTATACTGATTACATTACACTACCTTTGTCATAGATACCACAACTATATGAACACTCACCTGTGCCTTGATAGTGATTATTTAATAGCTTAATGAAAAGGAGCTGAGTCCAATCCTTCCATTTTTGAGCATCTACAAGTTTGGGGATGAACCCCAACATTATGCTGAGATGGCAATGAACAAAATGGAAGCAACGACAAGAATTTGGTTGCTTGTGGGATTGCAGGGCATTAGAATAGGTGCGATGGTCGGACAGGAGTTCCATTAGGCGAATATAGATATTGGTGAAAATTAATAAAATGGGACCAAAACAAGAGACTGCACATAAAGTCAAAGCAGAGATGGTGGGATTATGAACGATGTTTCCCGGTTGGTTGAAAAGGAGTAGACTAGCATTTAATTGCAGGAGGTGGAAGTGAGGAGATGGTGATGATGAGGTTTGGGTATTGTCTAAGCTCAGCTTGATTGTGTCTGTGACTGACTGCTATACCATTATTCCGATCAATTCAGTTTATGAACCAGAGATGTTATAGTATTTTAATAATTTTCAAATATTTCTCACTCAAGGAATAGGTGATATAATTCCATGATGAAATATTTTCCATGTAACAGCATTAAAATCAACCTAAGCAGTCAAACAATAATGCTCATTTCAGTTGTTCTACAGAACTAATGAATAGGCCCAGATTTGAATGATCCTAATCTGTGCAATTGCATTTACCTGATTTTTTTCCCTCTCTTCTTGGAATGCTGCTTGGATAGACTGTTCAAATTTTTCTTGGTCCTTACAACGCTCAATTTCCCATAGTTCTCTTTTTTCCAGCTGGATCTTTTCCATCCTTTCTCTCTCCTCTTGCACAGCTTTCAAAACAGCCTCCATAATGATTTCCTTTTCTGCCTGTGTAACAAAGCATCGTTCAAAAGGGGTTTTAAGAAAAAATCAAAAGGCATTTAAACCAAATATAATACCACATAAAAATCCATGGCCATATACTAAATAAAAGATCAGAGGAACTAACAAATGTTGTATGTTGAAAAATGAAATGCCTCTGCCAACTTCAACAGGAATTGGATTACAAAGCTGGAAGCACATGCTTCAGAAATATTGTTGTCCCTGTTATTATAATATCACTTGCCAATAATGCAAATTTTTCTTGTTACAATATTGTTACAGTGGTGATGTTAGGAAAATGGCTGCCATTGGCAACCACAGAGACTGTCTACGATTTCAAGGAGAGAATCAATCTTCAAAAGCCTGCATAAAACAGATGACAAGAATACTACAGTATCGAATAAAATTAAAACAAGGTTACGATGTTTTGTTATTAATCACCACTCTGCAATTTAACTTTATACTAATGCATCAAGTTAATTGTTAGGCCCAATAATTGGGTAAGACACAAAGTTAATAACAGTATTCAATATAAATTTGCACATACATTTTCTAATTACCCACCATCTCATTAATTATTATCAACTGTGCTGAAGTTTCCAATAACAACTTAATAGCATCTTTAAAGCAGTAAATCATTCAAAGGGTTTGAGAGAAGCCTAATCAGAAGAAAACTGACACCAAATCAAAACAAAAGACAATAAAGATAGCCAAAAGCTCAGTCAAAGATGTAGTTCTTTTCCTATTTATTTAAACATGCCAGTGTTTGGAATTGTATGAGGGAAACTGGGATAGATCACAATTGATTATTCATCCTCTTTGTTTGATGATGCTAAATATTGACTAAGTCCAAAAATGTCCTCAGCTAAAGTAAAATGCAAAGATACGTAAGAAATTAACTTCAAGTAAGTGCAGCATGACTTTAGATACCAAGATGCCATATCTTGGTACATCAGTACGCTGCATCACATCAACCATAATATACCTAATGCTTCACTCAGTCCCAAACTAGCAACTGTACTTGAAAATCACAATGAGCAGCAAATGCAATAGTTTTCAATTAGTAATAATAAGTTCTCCATCAAATGACATGCATTCATTGTTAAGATCATAGATGGAAAATTCACCTTGCAAAGATTAAAGGCCAGTTTTTTGTTCTAAAATCATACAATCCCTACAGTGCAGAAGAGGTCAGTCAGCCCATCGAGTCTGCACTGACCCTCCAAAGAATATCCCACCCAGACCCACCCCCAATATAACCCAGCATTCATCCACCTAGCCTGTACATTCTTTGGACGCAATGAGACAATTTAGCATGACCTATCCACCTAATCTACACATCTTCGAACTGTGGAAGGAAACTGGAACACCCGTCGGAAACTCACACAGACACGGGGAGAACGCGCACACAGTCACCCAAGGCTGGAATCCCTGGGACTGAGGCAGCTGTGCTAACCACTGTTCTACTGTGCCACCCACAATATAATATGCCTGATTGTGGATACAATCATCTACACACTGCTATTACACAAAGCTAAGATTCCCTAAAATTTTGCTATTCATTCTTGTATTATTTTCATATTATCTGGACAAAAAAGAACAAGCTGGCACAATGAATATGATCATTACTGCAGTTCATAATATCAAAAGACGATGAAAATGAGTATTTATTTTAACCATATATTTGTTGTATGAAAACTCCACATAGTGTATTCGATTTTTAATACTGAAAGGTCCAGATAAAGATTAACTCATCCAAAATAGAATTATCTTTATTGAACTGTACAAAATATATAACAGATGGTGGGTAGAGAAATAAAAGCAAAGGCTTAAATAAAAAGACTCATCGTTTTTGGAAATTTGCCTCTAGTTGATTACAGGGAATCTCTGTGCCTAATTACATAGTCACTCAGTATTGTAACAGTAATCTAACTCTAACCCTAACCCTATCGCAGGGTTCTTTAAAAAGGAAATCTTTAACACAGAAATTCTGGTAAGCTGGATTGTTTTTAAAAATATACCTTTACAACTTCTCCCATTGCCTCGGTGCTTCGTAGTCTTTCTTCAGCAATACATCTTTCAAGTGTCTCCTGTAAACAATTCAGCAAATATTCAGATAGTTTACACACCAAGGACAATATTATAAAATGATTATTTGACAAAAGAACTGAAAATTTACCTTATGCTGTTTTGTTTGTTCCTCCAAAGCTTCCTTTATCTTATTTTGGAAGACACATTTTTCTTTCTCCAGTAAGTCAAGCAGTCGCTCATGCTGGAAGGCCATAAAATTGTCAAAATGAGCAGCAAATCACATAGCATGTGATTTTTTTAGACATGAAGTAATAATAAATCAATGCCTTGACTTATATTTAAAAAGTTATTCAGAAGAGGAAATTACTGATTTTAACTATGGATGAGTCTCACACTCACTCCTGGGCATTAACATCTTGTCAGATCAGTTCCTGTCCAACACCTGGCTGAAGATGAATGGGATGCAGCTTACAACACCTAGAAATTTGGCAACAGATGTGTGGGAATGGAGTTCTGGATGGTTCGCACAGGAAAGAGGGCACAATTTGTTTTAAAGACTGGGAAGAGCAACAGTAGTCCTCCAAGTCCCAGAAGGTAAAGTCAAAAACTTAAATATTTGGGTCTTTTCATGTTTTAGCAGTTCCAGTCTCCTTGCCTGGTAGAAAAACTACAAGATTTCTCCACTCAGGCTAAAGTTAAAATTCAATAAGGACCTTATGATTTTATTCGCAGTGACCTGCATATTTAAAAACATATTCTGTTAGCTTTAGGGCAAACAAAAATTGCAGTCAGATGGATTAATTCGACCTTCCAGCTAGCAGCTGGAAAAGGCTGAAAGCAGAATTGCCTTCAATCCCAAACTCCCTCCATTGTTACATTTGAATAGAACATATTTAGTACAGGTTCTTCCCTCTTAAAATACATGCTGGATGAAAATATGAAAAAAAAATTAATACTGGGGCAATTTTTTATTTACACAGAGGATGGTTCGCGTGTGGAATGAATTTCCTGAGGAAGCGGTGGATGTGAGCACAATTACATTTAAAAAACATTTGGATAATTGCATGAATAGGAAAGGTTTGGAGCGATATGGGCCAGGAGCAGGCAGGTGGGACTAATTTAGTTTGGGATTATGTTCGGCATGGACTGGTTGGACTGAAAAGTCTGTTTCTGTGCTGTATGATTCCATGACTTGCTATATTTCAGCTTTAATTGTATTTAACAAATTTATGGATGGTCACTTAGTATAGATCTTGAGCATTGCCAAAGACAAAAAGAACATTCTGTGGAATCTTTTGCCTTGCACTCATCAGGACAGACACAAGAATGCCAAATTTCAAAGGAAACGACAATTTATACAACATAAGAAAAGGCTATTATAATTGGTTGGCAAGTCAACTCTAATTGGCTGAGGTGTTGCTGTGGAGAAAGCACCAAGGCATTTTGTCTCCCACGCTTTCGATTAATTTAAAAATGGCTTAATGTCTGTCTGTGTTCCTTTTTCTTACTGAGTACAGGTCACTGCAGAGGGAATACATGCAATTTCTAGCAAGCATAAGTTAATCACATCACGAGGACAACTGAAAACCATAAACTGGTTGTTGATGTAATTCTTAGCAAAATCAGGATTGCTCGTGGAATCTCATCTAACATTAGACATTATGTTGTGAGCTTTGCAAGAACAGGTTAGTTGAATAAGATCCATACTCTGCCTGATGCACATAGCTGAAGGGGCATGATGTTTGATATGATCCATCAGTTACTGAGATGTATGGCTTCTGGACCTGCATAGCACCAGCACTGAAATTCATAAATTGCACTACTCTTTTACACCATAGGTCATCTAAACATCTTTTTGGTCAAATGTCAGCATCCTGTTGGTGAAAAGTGTTACTGCTGCACAGTAGCAACGTAAAACAGATTGCTAAAATTGTTTAAATATCTTACCATTCCACTATAATTTGATGTGTGGGAACAATAGTTCCCTGGTGCAATCTTTATAGCACTGCTTCGACCAGAGTCAACTTGCCAACCAAATTAGCACACTTTCTCATGCACCATAAATTTTTGTTCCCTTTGAAATCTAACACTCTTGCATTTGTCCAACATCAAGCGCTTCAACTGCACGTCTCTTTTTCAGCAATATTCAAATGTGCATACTTACTTGCCTCCTTCAAACTTATTTGTGTTGTAAAAACGCAAGAAATGGGAGTGGTAATATATACCAAAATGCAAAATTTATTCAGTGTAGGAGAGTTAAACCAGAAAATTCCGCTTCAAAAGGGCCTTTACTCATCCTAATTTTTCATTTTCTGATATATGGTTATGTTGTTAGTATGGTCTCTCCCATAGGATTTACAATGGGTGGCAGGCAAGTTACACTCTGTAAAAGCAACAGAAGTCTGCATGGAGTTGAAACTTCTACACTAGATTATATAAAAATTCCAAAACGGAGCTGAGTGTTAGCATCTATCTTGCCGTTTGAGAAAGCAAATAATATTTTTATGCAGCTTTCTTTTTTCTATCCACAACCATATTATTGGATTTATTGCAGCAACATTTTGGGTGAGGAGGCAAACACTTTGGCACTGTGAATGGACTAGAGCACTGACGAATACATTCATGCTCTCAGTCACTCCATGCGATCTGCACCTAACTACGAGCAGACAATTCAACAGCAGTATTATCTCAAGTCTTGTAATCAGTTGTCTGCTTATTCTTTGATGGGCAACACTATAAGACAAAGGATCTCAAAATGCAAGTAAAAGAACATAAAAGAAACCTAAAAATGTTGGAAGGAAACTAGAATTATTTTGTGATTTTTCTCCTCTTTCCTTCCTCTCCAAGCACAGCCAGTGCCAATTTCCACACCATGAAAAGTAGGAGTAGAACAGAAGATATCAATAGCTGGGAAGGGTTCTGATTTTTAAAAGGATGAAACGGAAAATGAAAGCAAAATTAACAGGACTATTGGCTTGTAGAACAGGCTGCCACCTGCTGCTTAGAATGCAGAACCTGTAAGTTATAAAATGCAATTTAGCAGATTTATGCTCCTTAAGAATGATGGTGTGACCTCTCATTTATGAAATGTTTATGACTAACACTGAAATATAAAAAACTGGAGGAGGAGTATTTGGCCATTCCATACTGCTCCACCAATTCAATATGATCATTGCTAATCATCCAGTTCAGAGATCTTTTCCCGCTTTCTCCACAGTCCCTTTGATCCCTTTGGCCCAAAATAAATAACTTCTTCAAAACATTCAATGTCCTGGCCTCAACTGCCTTCTGTGGCAGAGACTACTATACGCTCACTACTCTTTGGGTGAAGAAATTTCTCCTCATCTCAATCGTAAATGGCCTCCCCCATATCCTTCAACTGAGATCTTTGATTCTAGACTCCCTAATCACGGGGAGCATCCAGATATTTACTATATCTAGTTCTGTTAGCATTTTATTGGTTCCTATGAGCGCCTCCTTAATTCTTTTAAGCTCTAGTGAAAATAACACGAGCCAATCCAGTCTCTTCATTCAAAAGAGCTGCCATCCCAAGAATCAGTCTGGTAAACCTTTGTGGCACTCTTTTCCTCAGATAAAGAGACGAAAAATACTCACAATATTCCAGCTGTGGTCACAGCAAGAACCTGTGCAACTGCAGCAAGACATCCCTGCTCCCATACTTAAATATTTACTATAACATACCATTTGCTTTCTTGCTTACTTACTTTCAGCAACTGGTGTACAAGCACACACAGGCATTTTTGCACCTCCCCCTTTTCCAATCTGTCAAGTTTCAGACAATAATCTTCCTCCTGCTTCTGCTACCAAAGTGGATAAGTTCACATTTATCCAAATTTTACTTCAACTGCCATGCATTTGCTCACTCACTCAACTTGTCCCAATCTCTCAGAAACATTTCTACATCCTCCTCCCAGTTCACTCTTCCATTCAGCTTTGTGTCATCTGCAAACTTGGAGATATTATATATTTAGTTCCCTCACCTAAATCATTAATATATTTTGCAAATAACTGGGATCCAACCATTACTCCCTGTGATACTCCACTCTCACTGCCTGCCACTCGGAAAATTAATCCAGTTATTCCTACTTATTGCTTCCTGTCTTCCAGTCAGTTCCCTATCCATGTCAGTACACTAAGCCTGATCACATGCACTTTAATTTTGCATGCTAGTCTCTTATGCAGGACCTCATCAAAAGCTTCCTTGAAAGACTAAGTAAACCACATCCATTGGTTGTTCCTTATCAACTCTTCTAGTTACATTCTCGAAAAATTGCCGTAGATTTGTCAAGCATGATTTCCCTTCTGTAAAGTCATGGTGATTCTGTGCAGACCTGTCATTGTTTTCCAAGTGCTCCGCTACTAAATGTTCTAAAGAATCTAAAAATTTTCCCTACTAGCAAAGTTTTTTAAATTCACGTGTGGAACATGGGCATCACTAGCTGGTCAGCATTTATTGCCTTTTCCTAGTTGCCTTGGAAAGATGGTGGTGAGCAGCCTTCTTTAATCACTGTTGTCCAAATGCTGTAGGTAGACACACATTGCCATTAGGGAGGGAATTCTAGCATTTTGACCCTGCGACAGCAAAGGAACAGCAACAGATGTCCAAGTAAGGATGGTGGGTGGCTTAGACAGTAAGTCACAGGCAATTGTGTTCCCATGTATTTGCTGCCCTTGTCATTCTAGATGGAATTAGTTCTGGATTTGAAAGGTGCTGTCTAAGGATCTTTGGTGAATTTCTGCAGTGCATCTTGTAGATAGATGCACTCTACTGCTACGTGATACCAATTAAGTGGTGCACTTCGTGCTGGATGGTGTCAAGCTTCCTCAGTGTTGTTGGAGCTGCACTCATCCAGGCCATTGGGGTGTAAATCATCAGACCTCTGACTTGTGCCTTGTAGATGGTGGACAGACTTTGGGGATTCAGGAGGGAAGTTACTCACTGCAGGATTCCTGGCCTCTAATGTGCACTGCATTTATATGGAGAGTCCAGTACAGCTTCTGGTCAATGGTAACCCTCAGGATGTTGATAGTGGGGTATACAGTGATGGCAATGCTATTGAATGTCAAAGCACTGTCGTTAAAGTTTTTGAGAAGATTTGTAGCTCAGGTTGTGGACTTGCTCGCCGAACCAGTGCGTTTGATTGCAGACGTTTCATCACCCTGCTAGGTAACATCGTCAGTGCACTTCCAGTAAAGCGTTGATGTTCTGTCCCGCTTGTT